CCCCAAAACCCCAAAACCCCAAAACCCCAAAACCCCGTGATAGGTATTAGAAATTGGATATTTTTAGGTATAATTAATATGGAGACAGTTGTGAAGACAGATACTAGCGTTCTTAAGGGTGTTCCCAAGGTAGCTATCATTGGAGCTGGAGTTTCTGGGCTTATTTCTGCCAGACATCTTAAAGATATTGCTCACATTAAAGTTTATGAGTCCAAACAAGATATTGGAGGGTGTTGGCTATATACAGAGGAATCCGAAAGAAATCATCCAGATCTGGACTCAAATGCTTATTACAAGCTATATGGCAACCTACACTCGTCACTGTATCACAATTTGCTTACAAACATTCCTAAGGAGTGAATGACCTGGAAAGATCACTACCACCACGAAGACACCCCATACATAATGCCTAGCGAAACATTTCTTGAGTAAGTTTGATGCCAACCATAGATACATTCGAGAGTACGTCGATAAGTTCGAACTTACCCAGTACATAGAGTTCAACCGGGCTGTCACATCACTCAGGAGGTAAGTCCAGTGTGACCTTTAGAGTGGAAGAGACAGAAGAGAATAGTCACAAGTTTAAGATTGAACATGTCCACACTAACACCAAAGAAGAATCAGAGGTTGTGGAGGAGTACTTTGATTATGTCATGGTTTGCAATGGACACTTCTCAACTCCAAAAATTCCAGACTTCAAAGGAAAAGACAATTTTAAAGGTTTTCAAATGCATATGCACGAACTGAGAAAGATGGAACCAGAAGACTTTGACGATAAAAATGTGTTAATCGTTGGGTCTTGCTTTAGTGCACATGATCTAGTGATTAACATTCTCTTTAGGGAGGATACTAAAGATCTTGTTCATCCTAAAAAGGTCTTCATCACCAGTCGATCAACTACTTTACTAGAGAAATCTGAAGACTATAAAGATATTCAGAATCAAAATCTCCTTGAAATCAAGTCCGGAAATATTGATGAAATCAAAGAAGATTCAGTAGTCTTTGGAGATGGCTCTGAAGAACAAATTGATACTATCATCTATGCTACTGGCTACAAATATTCTTTCCCATTCATTGATCCAGACCAGAAAATAGTGGAGTTTGATTCTAAAGGAACTAATGGAAGTTACTTTGGACCCTTGTACAAAAAGATGTTTTGAATCAATGAACCGAATATATTCTTTATTGGAGTTGTAGAAAGAATTCTAATTATCCATTCAACATATGAGAGACAAATATTACTTGCTAAAGAAGTTATTCAAGGCAAAATTACACTTCCATCCAAACAAGAAATGCTTGAAGACCTTGCCTCTGAAATAGAGAATCACGAAAAATATGGCAAAGACTTGAGCTATTTCTATAGGTTCAACCCAGCAGGCTACACCTACGCAGATTACAACAAAGATTTGGAAGCTCTCACTTCAATGGAGATTGACACCACAAACTACTCAGGTACATGTTCTCTGATTGTATAGCTCTTAAACCAGCCAATGAAGCCAGATCTGAACTTATGAAGGCAGGGAATGAGGTTCAAATAAAGAACATTGATTACTCCGAATATCTGGATGGCATTGAGTTCAAACCCACAAGCAGCACATTTTAAGCTTAAAGATGATTATTATTTACTTCTTCTATATTTAGAAAATATTTAGGGGTTTTGGGGTTTTGGGGTTTTGGGGTTTTGGGG